TTATGAAATTCTTCAGGCTCCTTAGGGAGGGTGGGTGATTTACAGTCTGTGTTGATGGTATTAGTGCTTTCTGGCTTCTTAGTCATCACAGTTAAAGAGGTTTAACTACAGAGAAACTCCCAGCCATTTATATGATGGTTTTCTAAAGACATAAGAAATCCGGCTTAATGTCAAAGAAGTGCTCAGACAGAGCTCTCTCAAGAACTTTAGCATTTCCAAATGTGTTTTGGAAAATTATCTCGATAAATTGACTCCATTTTTTCAAGTTACATAAGTAAAATGAATGAGTCACAGACACAAGGCTGTAATATTTGAGAAGAACAACATGCTCAAACCCCTCATTTTATACTTGGGAAGTGTGGGGCTGAGGGAGGTTAGGTGGGAGAGGATGTTGTGGATGAATTATAAATAAAAACCTGAAATTTATGGTAAAGCTATTTGGAGAAAGTGGAACAGTCTGGTCAGTTCTATTTTGGCTCAAAGAAGGTCGTCTTTACTTTAAGTACCTGTGGGTCCCACATCTCTTTTTACTGTTGGCAGGAGCAAAACCTTGTTGAATCTTTGAAAGAAATGAGTTTGCCAGTGGATTAGATTGCCTAATTTGGCAATCTTGGGGGGAAGAGTGAGAACTATCAATTCCTTTAGCCATGTCTAAAGGGACCACTCAGTATTCTCACTGTGAAGTTTTATGGGTTTTCTGACCTAGTTTGAGATGTTCCAGAAATGAAATGCATCTAACATTCCCTCAGAAAGACTCTTTCCTGACAGATCACGTTGAGGTGTCCTTTATTTTTTTAAGTCCAAATATATTTGAATCCCCTGATTTCTCCAGATTACTGTCCTGTGTTTTCACATGTTTAGGATTTAAAAAAAAGTAAGAGTACATTAGATACCCTCAGCTAATAGGCAAAGGCATGTGTTGATATATGTCATTATTAAATCCTTTCTGAAAAATGTTTCTGCTTTGTATCTTATGCTCACTGTGTATGTCAATTTGAAAACCAAATCCAGCAGACTTTGAAGACATAGAGCTAAGAACTAAGGAAGACTTTTAAGAGAAAAAAAGCCAATGATGATGCATGCTAAGTCACTGATAATTTTACAGTGTTAAACTGAGATTAGAGGGATGACATTGTCTACTGAATTTCTTCTCTTTCTGGACTGCTTTAGAATGAAACATTTAGTATATATATTCAAAGGGTTGTTTTTCCATTGTGGTCATAACAAGTTGACACAAACATGGTGGCTTAAACCAACACGAATTTATTATCTTATGGTTGTATGGGTTATAAATCTTACAGAGGTTCTGCTGGAATAAAATCAAGGTGTCAGTAGGGCTGTGTTCCTCCTCAAGGCTCCAGGGGAGATGCATGTTTGCCTTTTCCTTTTGCAGCTTTGTAAGGTCACTCACATTCTTTGGCTCATGGATTCTTCATGTGCAGGGTCAACCACCGTGGTTACAGTTCACACATGTATCCCCCGACCTCCTTGGTAGGTTCCTTCTTCTCCGTGACTCTCTTCTTCTGTCTCCCTCTTCCGTTTGTAAGCATGTTGGTGATTACGTTGGGCTCCCCCATAATCCAGGATAATCTCTCCTTTGTCTGTAACTTTATCCCATCTTTGAAGTCAACTTTATCCCATCTTTGAAGTCTCCTTTTTCCATGTAAGGTGATGTAGTCACAGGCTCTAGAGGTTAAGATGTGGGCACCTTTGGGTGCCATTCTCATGCCACACAGGTTGGCACCAATTGGATTCTTTGCTTCTAAATTATTTGCTTCTAAATCTTCTCTAAACCATCCAAGTTCTTGGTAAATCTATTATAACATCCACTGGCTTGTCTGTTAGTCAACTTCCTTTAAATTCGTGTGTAGTGAAGGAACAATTGACTTTATAATGTAAGTTTACTGTTAAATGGCAGCTTCAAGATTATCATAGGCCTGGGGAAGAGAACCAAAAACTCACAATTCCCAAAAATATGTCTGATACAGAACAACCACCAACTCAACACCCCAAAGAAAGAGGATGTGAGTATTTGTTATTTTCCATGGACAGATTCAGAAACCCATGCATATTAATCCATTCTGGAGTGTGACTCATTTGCATGACTTGGCTCTAACCATGGGCAATGAATTATATAATTATTAAAAATCCTCACATTTGATTTTGTGTAAAATGAATCTATACAGAAAGTAGATATTTGTTTAAAGCTATTTACACGACCTTGATATACATCATCTAATTATCTATCTGCTCAGTATTTTTACAAATCGCCTTATATGTATCAAAGCAAGGGTCAGCAGACCGTGGTCCATCAGCCAAATCTCACCTATACAGTTTTTACACTGTTCAATGTTTGAAAAACCATCAAAAAAGAGTAACAATTATCTTTCTCTGACTGACTTAATTTCACTTAGCGTAATACTCTCTAGTTCCATCCATGTCACTGTAATAGCAAGATTTCATTCTTTTTTATGGCTCAGTAATATTCCATCACACACACACACACACACACACACACACACACACACACATCATCTTTCTCTGCTCATCAGTTGACAGATTGTTGGGGTTCTTCCCTATAGCCAGTAGTTTGTCTGAGTAGATAATGCTGCTATAAACTTGGGGTGATTTCACTCATATGTGTGATATAAAATACAAAACAAATGAGCAAAGGGGAAGGAAGAGAGTGTTGGAGGGCAAACCAAGAAACAGACTCTTAACTGCAAAGGACAAACTGATGGCACCAGAGGGGAGACAGGTGGGGGACAGGGTCACAGGCGATGGGGATGAAGGCGTGCACCTGTCACGATGAGCACTGGGTGATACACGGAAGTGCTGAATCACTATATTGTACACCCAAAACTAATATCGTGTGGTATGTTAGCTAACTGGAATTTAAAATATAAACTTGAAGAGAGAGAAAAGAAAGAGTAACATTACGTTTCTCAGGAAAATAGCATGAAAAGCGAGCATCTGTCAGTGAACTATTGTTGGAACCTAACCTTCCCCGTTCTGTGGCTGCCTTTGACCTCCAGCAGCAGCACAGACAGCTGCAGCAGAAACCGTGCGACGAGTAAACCGTAAAACGTGTGCCTGGCCCTTTACAGATGAAGTGTGTCGATTAACACAGAACTGGCATTTGGGGTCTGGGTTTGGTGTGTGAATCATGTGGGAAGCGAAGAAGGGATTTATTGCATTGCTAATGTTGATACACCACTAAAATGCAATCAGACCCAGCTTTTGAGATCAGAACCATTCAAAAAGAACCTAATTAAGAAAAAAAAATACTGTAAGATCCATAACAAATAAACGTGGGATTCAGTTATGAAACTTTCAGTAAGTATATGTAGGTAAGCTGGATAGATTCTGGGTTTTTGAATCCAGAAGTTAGTTATTTTCTGGTCCTTGCCAGTATTAGGCCAAGAGGTAACCTATTTCGAAGAGAATCTGTAGCATCAGCTCCCCAAGGGAAACAAGTGAGAGGGGGCGGGAGCCTTCAAACGAAATACCAAAATAATGAAATGTTTCCTGGAAGCAGCTGTATCTGACTTCAGCAGTCAGAGCTACATAAACCCAAGCAAATAGGCAGATCTGAGTTGTGCGTTTCCTCTCACAGACGATTATTTCAAAGAGTGACACAGACACTGTTGCAATTGGTTACAGTCAAGGTTTGCTTTTAACTGTAAATGGATACTGCATATTTTCAAACCTGAGAGTTTAAATTGAACACCCCGACATCAGAAAGCTTGCCTACATATTTCATTTGATGCTGGTTTTCCTCCAGGTAATGGAGTAAGGAGGGAAACACTCCACACGCCACCCGTGCCTGGTGAATCTGGTGCACAGAATACAGCTTCCAGCTGACCAAGAAGCTCCAGGGTCCAGGGGGCAGCCCACAAAGGGCAGCACCGGTTTCAGTAGCAAGCAATTGCTTAAACCTTTTCTGATCACCCGCACTGATAATACAAGTCATTTTGAAAACAGATCTGGCAAAATAATTACACAATGCAGAGCCATTGATGACATTTAAAATGTGCGTCAGGGACGTTTATACACGTATCACAATCATTTCTTTTAACCCCTTGCTGGGGGTACGTTAGGGTCCAGTTTACAGATTGGCAGGTGGAGGTTCAAAGAGCTCCGGCAGGGGAGCCGCACACAGCCGCCTCCCTGAGCACCCCAATCCAGGGATCCTTCTGCCATCGGCCCAAACTGACGCTGCTGCTGAGTTCACAGGGGACTTTTATCACCCGGGAGGACTTCCATTTCCTAATGATGCAGGTTTTCAGCAGGAAGTAAATTTCTCACGTTTTTCCTGACAACTAAAGCACACGGTGTCAAGGAGGATGGGGAGCTTAAACAGCTCAGCGAGAGATGGATTGTGTCTGATTTTGGAAGATTGAATTGTGTTTAATATACTGCTTTCCCCAAACATATTTTATTTCATTTCAAATCTCTCTGACAGTGCTTGTCACCACTTCCCTGTGTGCCGCTCTTCTTCCCGCGGGTAGGAGAGGCCCGTGCTATGAACTGTGGGATGGGCCCCTAGAAATACGGGATGCTGTCCAGCATGATAAGCTGCGGATCTGAGGGCACTAACGGTGAAACCGAACCATGAAGCGTTCAGAGAGAAAAGTACAGTGTTACCATTTGCCTGTTTCTTGTCTTTTTATAATTCATTGTGATTGAGGTCCTGATGAAAAGGAACAAGTGATCCAAAGAGTACCTTCTCATGGGTCTGTCATTAATAAGGAAGAATAAACACGTCACGTGTTGGTGAAAGCCTTCCCTTCATCGGAGTAAACACAGCACCGATAGGTGGACACACTTGAAACTGCCTGGGTCTTTTCAAGGTTTCGGTGCAGCTCCACAGTGATCTCAAAATAACGAGATAGTAGTTATTTTGATAACCATCAGTAGTCAGTTGTTAACATGGGTTTGCTATAGGACATTTGCTCGGTTGGTTTACAAGGGAGATTTTTTCTGGTTCTCTCTTCCAGGTTGACTGGCATGAACCTCCCTTCTCCCGTTATAAGTAGCAAGAATTGGTTACGACTCCATTTTACATCTGACAGTAACCATCGACGCAAAGGATTTAATGCACAGTTTCAAGGTAAGAATGCCCCATTTTCTATATTAAAAAAAAGAAGATATTTTGGTCTTTTCACCCTCAAATTTTAAGATTCTCTTACTAGAGATAGAGCAAGAGATAGAAGCTTGAAAATACCCTCTAGCTCTTTTATGCACAATTAACTCTGGAAATTCTGCAGATACTCCTAAAAATTTCTCAGTAAAGCTTTATTACTTTGACAGTACATAATGTATTTTCTTGTTTTGCTTTAATTATTACTGAGTTTTTAGCAATAAGTTAGTAAATATATATTAGCATTCATTTTAATTCATATACAGCTAACCAGAAAATATCCGTAGTTGGCTGGCTGTTTTCTTGACCCACTCATTAAAACTGGTACAGCATATAGGTTACATGAACATGCATAAGTGTATCATCCTATTGCTTCCAGATGTAAAATATATCCACAGTACATAAATCCAGCTACCTGGTTTAATAATTTACAGGTAAGTGAATATCAAAAGAAAAACACAAGATTTTTTTTGGAGCTGAGAGAAACGGAGTCTGTAGTCACTAACATGCAGGTCTGATTTTGAAACTTCCTCTTTGTATCAAATTTTTAGTGTTTATACGTGGATAGTATTGTGTCACTGCACGTATGTTTTATTGGGATTTTTTTTAAAGATTATTTACTTATTTTAGAAGGAGAGAGAGAGAGAGAGGGAGAAAGAGAGAGAGCAGGGGGAGGGAGGAGGAGAGACAATCCTGAAGCAGACGCCCCGCTGAGAGCAGAGTCCCCTGTGGGGGACTTGCGGGCTCCTTTCTAGGACCCTGAGATCATGACCTGATCCAAAATCAAGATTCGGACGATTGACTGGCTGAGCCACTCAGGTGCCCCACCCATACATTTTTAATAATTAGTAATCCTTATCAATACCATAAAAAGTATTCAACTTATTAGGAGATCCACTGAAAACAGTCCACCTTGCATTTGCAAGGAACAATAGTATGACTGTGTCAGAAAGCAAGATGTGCTCCCAGGAAACCTCTCATCTTCCTCCAAATCATGACTGTGAGAATGTCGAGAGTTCAGTTAAGACCACATTCCTTGGGGCACCTGGGTGGCTCAGTGGGTTAAAGCCTCTGCTTTCGGCTCAGGTCATGATCCCAGGGTCCTGGGATCGAGCCCCAGGGTCCTGGGATCGAGCCCCGCATCGGGCTCTCTGCTCAGCGGGGAGCCTGCTTCCTCCTCTCTCTCTTCCTGCTTCTCTGCCTACTTGTGATCTCTCTCTCTATCAAATAAATAAATAAAATCTTTTTTAAAAAAAAAAAAGACCACATTCCTTAAGCACTCGCTGAGTGCAAACCAGGACCCCAAAACGAGGAAATTGTAATAACCCCCATGTCCAGAATCTCGTTGGTCAGAAAAACAGTTTGCAAACAACCCCCATGAAAGGCAGAATGGAAACCAAAGTCACGCCAGCCACTTTGGGAGATTTTAGCAATGTTCTAGCAAATGGTCTGAATGTGTCCTTTTAAAGCACAATTTAAATCCCATAATGCCTTCGATGTATCTTTTTGGACAAGAAGTAGAAAACTAAGAGTAATTTGCAGGAAATTAAATACAGATGGTGCTGAGGGGCACACATGGAGGTGAGCAGACTTTATTTGCCACCTGCTCCCTGGGGCACGCCAACCTTCACAGAATGTGCCTGACTTTAGAATGCAGGGCCAGTTTTGTTTCACCAAAATGCATCTGGTCCATCATCAGGAGCACTGCCCATCTCACATTATCTGCGGATGTGCCAGAAAGTTCCTTATTTTATCCACTTGGACTGCAAATAGACTGCCTTCCCAGTTTTACAGGAGTCATACCAATGTGTTTCTTGTCCTGGAATCTAGACAAGGCTGAGCTCCTTTTTCAGACTTGCCTCTATTTGCGTTTATCTTTTAAGACCATATACTGTGTCTGCAGTCCTAACAGGGTGCCTGTGGCATACGTGATATATACGTATGGTGCGGACGGACACATGGGTGGGGGAGGGGAGGTCACACAGGGACACGGTAGGTGGGTTGTGAAGTACTCCATGTGGTCTTGTAGGGAAATCCATCTGAGTTTGGTCTGTATCAATCCCCATTCACTGATACATCCATCTCTAACAAAGAACAATCATAAATTAATATTCCGAAGGCAAAGTGACTGACCGGTAGGTAGGCAGGTAGATCAATAGAGTCCTTTCTAAATGGTGGTTTGATCTTCAAAGGTCCTGATATTGATTAATATATTGGCATTGAACTGCAGAAAAAAATTCTAGGTGTCACTCCTCCAACCTGATCAGTGAATTTGGCGTCTGTACCAGTGACTGGAAGAGAGGCAAAAAAAAAAAAAAAAAAAAAAAAAATTTGAAGACAATCCAAATTGGCAGATATAAGTAACATTCTGGTTGACAGAAAATTCTAATAGTTTAGACATATTAGCCATTGAGAAATATATATAATAATATAATAATATAATAATAATATATAATATAATAATATAATAAATATATAATATATATTTATTATATATTTATTTATATTCTAATCAATTAAAGAGTCTTTCAGTGGTAGCTCCTGATGACAGAGTGCTTTTTTGTTCAAGAGTATCATGCCTATGAAGAATTTTATAACTTCTAAAAACAAAGAATATCTTCTTTTTAATGTGGTGCTCTTCTCGGTTGAATAATCAACCACCACTATAAAATGTGTTTTCGACTTTCATGTCTACATCCTTTATTCTTTGAATTTCACACTGTGTTCTTTGGCTTTTATCTCTTCAATCATGCCATCAAATTATGCCAAAAGTAGTAGTGTGCTTGACTGACAAGTAAGACTGCTCTGTGGCCGCTCTTCCTAAAATATATTCGCTATCAAAATAGCATTGTGAACAAAGGAGTGGCAAATGCAATAAAAGCCACTGGATATATTTGCAATATCTTGTGTATATATATATTAGGTTCTTGTGGAATGACAGATTTATGTGGGACACATTATTTCTTTAAATCAGCTGAAAATTGAGCCCATTCTTTATATGTTGCCACCATCATTAATTATAATTAAATAAGTGCCTTGTTAGCACCATCAGTCATGTAGACATTTTTGATGTCTGCAAGATAGATTTTTTAAAGATATATTAATACTGAACCACAAATGCCTCTTCACTATTAACTAGCAATGTGCGTTGAGCTGCAGTCTTACATGTGTTTACCTGGCTATGTATAAAAATACAATTTTTACAAAATGCAATTCCTATAGATTTCTGAAACCGATAAGTCATTTTAAGTGTTTGTAATAAAACTGCAGTTTATATAGAGAACACCTGTCTCAAAGGAAAACCTGACAATGGATTTAAAATGTTGGGTTGACACAAATAATTAGCTTTCTCTTCAACTGATACTTCTATATAATGACTAATTTTAGTTTTTAGTAAAATGGAGACTTTATATAAAATAAGGCTTTCGTGTTGTTAAAATGTATCTTGGAAAATTGGGAACTTCATCTTTTCGGATTAATTCAAATTTGGATGTCATGTATGCTCGCCCATTCTCCAGTGTTCCCTGAGACACAATCGCAAAAGCTCTGCCTAAGAGATGATAGACATGGTCTATCCTAGCACTGGTGCGTGTGTCTGTCTCTCCCTTTAGAACAGAAGCTCTGCAAATAGTAGTAAAGTCCGTAATCTAGAACCCAGAAGGCTCTCAATTAATATATGCTGAAGAAAAAAAGGAAATCAAATGAGCTGCTCCTACTCCCTCCAGACCCCAGGGACAGCTGGTGGGCAGAAGTAGTGAGGTGCCCTGTAGACACTCTCACTCACTTGCATGACGTGGACGGGGGCTGCTCTTCCAAGGGGACTTTTCAGGTAGGTAAGGACACATCAAGCTTAAATCAAAACAAATTAGCAACCTCTAATCTTATCACCTCTAAAATATTCTAAAAACTTCTAAACCTCTAACAGAGAAACTGCTTTTAATAAATATAACTTCACTCAAATCAGATACACAACCACTTTCCCTAAACATGTAAGTTAGCTTCTCTTGGAACCAAAGATTCTTGCAAAGTGCCAATGCTGGTCCTTTAAAATTTGAAAAAGATGCCAGTCTCCGTGTTCCAGGCTGCTGAGTCTTGGCCTGCTCTCTTTTATCAAGTATTTTCTGCCTTTTGTCCCTTGCTGTCTTACTCTACAAAGTCAGAATAACATTGACCTCACAGAATCCTTGCAGATAGCTAAGAAAATCACCAGTGTAACAAGGGCTCTCCAGGCCACACCGGAGTGTGAGAGCTTTGTTACCCGTCCATAGTCCTTCTTCATGCCTGGTACATGCCCAGCCCAAATTAACTAACGCAGCTTATTCATATTCAAGTTTTAAGAGATATTTTAAGATTTCAAAAATGGGCAGATGCTGTCAGCAGAACATTGAACTGGTGCACCGTTCTCTCGAAGACTGTTTTACGGTGAATCTGAACTGAGGCTTTCTCTAGAACCCAGTGTCTACACTCCACATCCGAGCTTGTCGGAAGTGAGTGCATCTGTGCGATGAACGGCTTATATGAAGACTGAACTCAGACGCTTCATTCATAGTTGTCAACATCATGCCGCTGGAATTAACCAAAGTGTCCATCAGCAGTGGATCAGATCAGGAAATTATACATGTTCATACAAAAGAGTACTAAAGAAAAATGAAAAAAAGGCAAGCTGACTGTACACCCCACAAGAGTGAATCTCATCAGCATAATACTGGGTGAGAGGAACCAGACACAGAAGTACCACAATGCTCTGTCTGCGCAAGTGTAATAATATAGGGGCACCTGGGGGGCTCGGTCAGTTCAGCGTCTGACTCTTAGTTTTGGCTCAGGTCATGATCTTGGGGCTGTGAGATCAAGCCCCATGTCCAGTTCTTCACTCAGCACAGAGTCAGCTTGAGAAGGTCTCTCAAATAGATAAGTAAATCTTTAAAAAATAAATATAATAATACAATATAAATAATAATTTGGGACTATAT